TCTAACTACATATGTAAACAAAGAGAGAGATTACGGAAAAGTGAGTCGAACCATAATTTGTATTTAATAAACATGTGAAAATATTAGAGCAATGAAGCGCCTGTAGCTCAGTGGATAGAGCGTCTGTTTCCTAAGCAGAAGGCCGTAGGTTCGACCCCTACCTGGCGCGTTTACATTTTATGTTATCTGCAGAACAAATATTCATTTCTTTTTTGTAAAAAGATTGACTAATTATTGGGATGCGAGGCGACTAATCTTTATTTATTTCCCACTTTGGTATTGTTTTTGTCGTCACTCGCTTTACTTTACTTTATTCAAAAAGATACTAATCAACTCTCAAAAAAGCCCTTTCACACTGCATTTGAAGAAACGAATCATTTTCACTACAAATATAGTCCAAACGTGTTCTTCTTCTCTGAATTTGGAAAAAATATAAAATTCTTCTGTTGATTTGTTTATAAGAAAACTCACAACAAAAGTATAATACTTATGCAATACTAGAAAACCACTGTTTTAGAGTATACAATTTCTATACATATCTTCTCCAAATGAGTTAAAAGTAAATTCTATTTTTTTAGATATTTTGTAGGTAGTGGAGTCTTGATAATTTGAAAAAAAAATTTACATGATTTAAAAAGTCATAAATCATAATGGTAATATGGAGTACACAACAGAATTGTCACACAACACAATATTTGAATTGAAAAGTTGGCATATAACCACTTAAGAATATGACAATTTCAAGTTAGTTCCATTTTTCAAAAAGTCCATATAGATGGAGATTTAGTTCATCAACATGTCTATTTTCTCCAAGATTCAATCAAACTAACAAACAAGTAGATTGAAGTCTCTGCAACCATGCGATTCTCAAACTTAGCTTCTTCAGCTCTAAGAAGCTCTCTCTCTTTAGAAACATATCCAAAGCAAACAAGTAGAGATCACTTCCTTCTTCCACTTCTTTCATCGCGTCAAGGCTTTCAATGCATTCTCCAATACAGTACATCCACTTTGCCGATTCTATCTCAACGCATACTGGACTTTCCTGCAACATACCTTCACTCATTAACTTCGGAACATCTGATGGTTGAGAATTTGAACGGTTGATCCACTTTGCTTCATCTTCTTGCAACTGAGAATCTGCAAGACCACCGCTTAACCTGGAGGTTTCTGCTTCGATTATGTGCAGGTTTGAGAACGGAGTTGCGTCATGCCATTGTGGTGAATCAGAACGATCACGGAGGAGCTTCTTTCGCGAAGGAGGAATGTATGTCTCTCCCGGTTCTATAACTCCATTGAAAATGATGACTAGTTTATCAGCATGAGGAACTTCCTTGTGGCCTTGAATTTATTTCGGGCCTGGACAAAATAAAGCCCATATACTTTTTAATCTTCAACTTAAGTTATGTGATGGTTTCATCAAGTTTTAGTAGAACATTGTAATGATTAAAACCACTAGATTACATATTTCTTGATATGTATATTATAGGGTATCAATCAGACAGAAGCAGAGGTTTAAAAGTATAAAAGATTGGAACCTAACTTGTAGCAATAGAAACCGCAGCAGATTGAAGTCTCTGCAACCATGCGATTCTCAAACTTGGCTTCTTCAACTCTAAGAAGATCTCTCTATACTCTCTCTTTAGAAACATATCCAACGCAAACAAGTAGAGATCACTTCCTTGTTCAACCTCTTCCATCGCGTCGAGGCTTTCGATGCATTCTCCGATACAGTACATCCGCTTTGCCAATTCTATCTCACCGCATACCGGACTTTCCTGCAACATACTGTCACTCATTAACTTTGCAACATCTAATGGTTGAGAGGTAGACCGGTTGATCCAATTTGCTTCGTCTTCTTGCAACTGAGACTCCGCCAGACCACCGTTTAGCCGGGAGGTTTCTGCTTCATCTACGTGCAGGTTTGATAATGGAGTTGGGTCATGCCATTGTGGTGAATCAGAAAGATCACAGAGGAGTTTCTTGCGCAAAGGAGGAGTGTAGGTCTCTCCGGGTTCTATAACTCCATTGAAAATGATAACTAGTTTATCAGCATGAGGAACTTCCTTGTGGCGGAATTGTCCTGCTCTCGGGTTGTCCTGTGATAAACCAAAAAGAAAATATCCGTTTTTTTTCCGCTGTTTTCAAAATGAATAAAAACCATAAGCTATACAAGTAGCATTAGCATACCCGAATATAGATTCGCCATTCCTCTTCTGTCGCACCGAAACTGCGAGTTTCCGGATCCCATTTCATGCTACGTGCTCCAACGAGTTGACACCAGATCTTCCAAGCTTTCCTAGTGCAATCCCAGTGGTTTTTCAACTGTGCTCTTGTATAACCAAGTCCGGTCTTTTCATTAATCGTCTCAAGAATCGTCTTCCACCCTTCCTTGTTAAGATGTGTATCGGGTCTGTTTCCTTTTAAAGTCTCTTGGACCAACAGATCAACAAACAGCTCATGTGTAGACGGAGACCAATATCCTTTTGTTTGAGGGTTAGATGAACTACACATGCTTCGGTTA